TTGTTTTTCATAAGTTATTAACTTGTTTATATGGCAGCTTAGATTGCGTTGAGTTAGGTTTGATTTGGTTATGTTTTCTCATTAAGATATGTTAAGAAGATAAGCGCGTTTCATCGAAAAAAGAAAATATTTTGTTTTTCATAAATTATTAACTTGTTTATATGGCAGTTTAGATTGCGTTGAGTTAGGTTTGATCAGGTTATGTTTTCTCATTAAGATATGTTAAGAAGATTTGCGCATTTCATCGCTACTGAAAAAAAAGAAAATATTTTGTTTTTCATAAATTATTAAGTAATTTGTTTATGTGACAGTTTAGATTGCTTTGAGTGAGGTTTGATCAGGTAGGTCTTTTCAATTTCCAGTTTTCAAGCAACTTTTGATTTCCTGTTTGCAGTGTTGTCGACTAATTGATTAAGTATAATGTTTTTATTTCGCACTTCATTAAATATTATTTTTATTTCGTATTTCATCATATATATTGTAGTTCTATATTTTTACAACATTTTTATAGTAATTTCCTATTTTTTACAATTTTTTTTTTATTATTTTAAGGTTTTTTAGCAATTTCTTTAGTTTTATTCCCTTAAATTACAAAAAATACCCTTTTTTTCATTTTTTAGGCTAAGTTCCAAAACATTGCAAAAATAGCGTTTCCCCGGTTTCCTTGAAATTTACCGCAAGTTTTTTCGTGTTACATTTTTTCAAGGAAGAGACTAACAACAAAGGCTGTTTAACAAACAGAATTGCATATAACCCGATATTCTCCAAAACCCGCCAAGGTGGTGAGAAAAACTGTGCAGATAATAAATGGCTTACTCAAAATTTGAAGAATCCTGAAATGTGAAAAATTATTTATAGTTATAATAAATATTTCATGATTATGACTAATTGTGAATTATTCAAAAAATGGGTAGATTTGGGTTACCTAGATCAAATGTATTATTATTAAATTCCTTCCTCTCATTCTACTGAATTTTTGACCTATCACTTTGTTCATGAAATAGTCTAATAAAATACCACTCGTGATTTAATTTAGCTTATATGTCTGTCTTTTATTTCTAAACTCAACGGAGTTTCTTAAAGAAAACACCACTCGTCCTACGGACTAGTGGTGTTTTCAAGCAACTCAATTTCGTTTAGAAGTAAATCGACAGACTTATCGCGAAAATTGAATCACTAGTGGTATTACTATTGAAAAGTCGACGAGCAAATTATGTGGAGTTAAGCGTTGTATGGAGTGACGTTATTGGAAGACACGTTTCTAGATCAACATGTCACCAAGAGGCCCACAAATTAGGATTTGGTACTTACAAAAAAATAAATTTCATTTTCTTTTATGCTTAAGTAAAAGCCTCTTTTAACATTACAATAAAAGAAAAATAGACTAAGATTGTCAAAAGAGCATAAAGATTGGACTCGCTAGCAATGGGATTCAATACAATGGAGTGATGAGTCCAGATTTAAAGTATGTGCTGGCTGGAGACAGTAGGAATCACATCATTCGCAGGAAAAATGAAGCTTTCCATCCCAACTGTCTAAAGAGAAAAGTCAAATTTCCTGCATCCACATCCGTCGTCTAAAGATGTGGGAGAGTTACATTTTATCTATGGATTGAACACGGACAAATATTTGAATATTTTAGAAGAATCTCTTTTACGGCATACCACTACTGGAATAGATTTCTAACAGTTCCGACTTGTCCCCGACAGAGGCTTTGTGGCGCGAAACGAAAAAATGTTTGAGAAAACATCCTGCCAAGTCCGTCAACGAATTGAAGGAAAAATTGCAAGAATTATGGGATTCGTTTACATTAGAATGTTGTCAGAACTTGGTAAAAACTGTACCTAGAAGAATTGTGGATGGCATTAAAAATAAAGGGGATGTAACTCAGTGGTCAACTTTCACATTTTTTTTGTTAATATTAATCAATAGTTTACCTTACGTTATAAAATATTTTCTATAATAATTGGAAAATTCAAAAATGTTGTTCGATGCATTAAAACTTACTAAAATTTACGCTGCACTTTTATTTTTGTTCTCTAAAATTTAATTCTCTTATCAATCTAATGTTGAGCCAACTGATATGAGAAGGAGCCAGTACCCTTGCAAAGACGAAATAACCAAAGCCTAAAGGACACAGTACAGAACAAAAAAAAATTAGAATAATAAAATGATAAAAAAAGAAAAAAAAACTTAAATAAGAGAAAAAAAGGTTCAGGATTAATGTCGAATCAAAAATAGTAAGCCATTGAAATGAAACAATATACAAAAAATAAAAAATTTAAATTAATATTTAAAACTAATAATCCACTTATTCTAAAATATTTTTTTTGTATAATTTGTCATTACACATTGTACACTAATCATAAACAATGAGGATGTATCGAAAAATGCTTAGCCTGTCAACATAAACTCCTCTTCACTCAATACATTTGTTTACAACGATGCAAACGTTTGTAGATCTTTCAAAAACAATTTTGTAACTTGCTCTGCAAACCAAGGTTTCACAGGTTCTATCTACTCTTCGTTGCAAGAAAATGTACGATATTTTTTCAGTTGAGAAAAGATATGACAGTCAGACGGGGCTAGGTTTGGCGAATAAGGAGGTGTTCGAATAATTCGAACCCTTAATTGCGATGACAACATTTCCGGGACGTGCAGTGGTCAGTAGTGTTGAATAATAATTTCCTACTGTATTTATCCAAATAACCCATCATGATTACTTTTAGGCAATCCAAACACCAAATAAAGAACTTTTCCAGTAGATATTTGAACACGATTCCATCATTTCCTGCTTTGGTTCCGAGTCGTAGATATACCCCAAGTGCTTCTGCTTTTGTACGCTTTTATTCAACTTTCAGACATTTGGTGATCCATTTTGTAAAAATTTTTGTACATCCAAATCGGCGTGTTTATATCTAATATGCAATGTCCGAGTCCAATAGCCCAATCAAACAGACTAGCCTTTTTGATCTATATCTTTAATGGAACATTTACTTGTTTTAAAGCGTACAGTACAATTTTTCACGATTCCATACGAATGGTATCTCTAGCGCAACTATAGTTTGACTTTTTGATGTGAAACTTGACACTGTTATATCTTAACCTCTCTAGACTAACTATATAACAATACATCCTCGTAAATAATTCAATTTTAGTGAATTCTGTGCAATTAGGTGTGGCGATTGTTAAAGCATTCTCAAAAAGACAGGAGCTCTCCAGGAGTAAACGAATAGAATTACAAAAGTGAGTCGGAGATATGGACTTTCACTAAACATTAATAAAACAAAATGTATGAGGATCTCTAAAAAGGAACAGCAAATTGTAAGAATCAGTGTGAATGGAAAACCAATAGAAAGAGTAAAAATATACACCTATCTTTGTACGAACGTCAATGAAAATTGGGACCATTCTCTAGAAATAAAATGTAGAGGAGGGAAAGCAAGAACTGCATTTCAAAAATGGTTAAGCTATTCAAGCCATGATTTATCAGTGCCCATAAAAATCGGATTACTACGATGTTATATCTTTCCTACACTGTTGTACGAATAGATATCGGTTGCTGCAATCAATTCTACAAGGAAAAGTAGAAGGAAAACGAACACCAAGAAGGCGAAGGATTTCCTTGTTGAAAAATTTACGTACATGGTTCAACACAACAACCAGATAGGAAATTAGTACATCACATAACAATGGAGGAAATCCGTCTCAAATAAGAGTCAAACGATACCAGAATATTAACAAACACACAACTTCAACTGCTTGTTATTAAAACAAAACGGTGATCTATTGATTCAGAGCCAATGCAGAAGAAGAGTTGGGTTGAAACAAAACAAAGATTACTAAATTAGCCTCGTCTTTTTGTGGGATAACCAAAAGAAGCAATAAAAGAAAATACCGTGCCTGGAAACATAATTCAGATCGATCTCACTGACCTTATATGTGGACCAGAAATAAAGCCAGTGTAAATGTTTGTAAAACTATCTACTCTATTTGAAAGTTCAAAATGCCTTTTTGAAATAAGCAAACAGATAAATGTGAAGGCAAAACCAGTTGCAGATTGAACTTACAATCACGAACTACATAGTAATACAACTACAAATAAAATTTGCTCCCAACATCCAGCAAATTTTAGAGCAGCATTAGAAAAACTGTCATACACGTAAAACACTCAAAGAAATGGAAGAGTTAGGGATTTAAACACCCCTTTGGATCTGCAATAAAATCTGGAATACAAGAAAGTGGCTAAATGGCTGGAGTAAGTTCACTTTTATTCCCATATATAAAACAGGTAAAGCTCTCCTGAACAAAAGACTAAAATCATACTTTATATTCCCCAATACCAATGCAGATTCGTCCCAAATAGAACCAGAGAGCAAACACATTCTTAATATTCGTCTTCAGCACGATAATCGGACCAAATAAAGGCCATGACTGAATACTCATTATCCAAAGCAAAACAACACACAGGAGAGAGATAGTTGGACAGAAATAGTCTAAAGAATTACATGACATCACTATATCCTTACGAAGGAGATAAGATAGAGGAGGAGGGCAGAAATAAAATCTTATTTCCTAGTGTAACTTATGTATAATATGTGTGAATTATGATTAATATGTTTTTTGTGTAAGAAAATTCATACTGTTTGATAACTTCTAAACAACTATTAAGAATGTCGAATTGATATCACATTTTTAACATTTGCCAAATTACAAACTGCATCAAAACTCTTCATTTCCACTATATGATAATTGTTGGTATCTAAACATGCTGTTTGTTTTTTTTTTTAGTTTTGAATTATTGCAATAATAAAACCTTTGTGAAAAATCAATTGTCCTGAGCTGACGTTGAGCTAGATGGTCCTCAACTTGGCTTTGTACAAGTAACTTGAATCTCAGTTGTGTTCTCATCAACTGTGAACTGTCAACATCTCGTCCTGAAGTTTTATACTACGGACATAAATTTTGTGAAGATGGTGAAACTGAAAAACCATACTAACCTGTAGGTGTTCGAGTAAGGCCCCACTGGTGTCGAAGCAAGAACTGCATTCCGCCCATCTACATTGACCATCTGTGGAGTGTGGATGAGACTTCCCTTCTTCCTTCTCAATCTGCTTACATGGAAACCGGATGGTCTTCGGCTTCGATAAAATCGGCGATTTCTGCTCCTCTACTACTACTGTTTCACTAATAAACACTTCTAAGCACTCTTTGTTTGATATGGATATACCACTATCCGAGTCTGTAGTAGGCGTAGGAGATGTTTCCTTTAAGTCATCTCGGAAAATCTCTTCTCGCGTACACTTTTCTGTCCTATGTGGCTCCTCAGTCCGTGAATTGTTGTCACGCACATTTTCTAGGGGTGTGTTCGTCACGTTTAGCTCTTTGTGCTGTTTGCATAGCAGCGGTACGATGGGAGATACGGCATTCTCTGCTATTTTCGGCTTCGCTGATAGCACCGTGGGAATGCCGGTCTCGACGCTTAGATTCGGGACATTCGACGAAGGCATAACGTTCGCAATGTTCGGGCTTGTGTTCATAGACGGTACCGGAGGATTTACGGACGTGTTTAACCTAGAAGGCATTGGGTTCACCTTAACTATAGGCACTACCGTAGCATTTAATTTGACACAATTGAAGTTGTTGATTGTAGTAAGTTTCTGCACTGGTTGTATCACGTTCAAACATGGTGTTCGATTTATTATCGGTAGAGGTAATTTATCGTTAGCAATCGTTGCGTATTGCGGTACGAATATCGGAGCCTCGGGTGGTTTCGGTCCCTTGGTGTGAAGATACGTATAGTTAGGAGGAAAACTTAATGCAGTTAAAGTTACGGTTGGAGTGAACTTAGCCAGACTATTCAATTGATCACTGATGGTAAGTTTGTCTGTCATGTTGCTTGGAGCCGGGAGTATTTTTCTAGGAACTGTGACTGGTGCTACTTTTTTCACCTTTGATTGCACTAATTTCTTGATGGGCTTCTTCATCTCCTTGCGACTCGGTGTTTTCAAACTGTTGAACTGTGTTTGTTGATCAACCAACGTTTTTGTAACTTGAGTAACGTTTTTCTTAACCATGTTCAAAATCTCTTTTTTAATACCGTTCGATTTTACTTGAGACTTAAAATATTCCGTGATTTTCCCTTGTTGCATTCTAGGCGTATCGCCCTTCTTAACTAACTTATCATTTGGACTAGGTATAGAAGGGACGATTTTAACAAAATTCGATTTAGTGATGAAGGGCGTAGCGCTGACCGTCGGTTTCTTCTTAGGTTGTTCCTCGGCAGATTTAAGGTTTTTAGGAAAGGCAGCTGTTGTTAGAGTTTTGTCTAAAAGTGACCGTTTACAAGGGGGTCCCTCGTCAGCGGTCCAAGGCCAAGGTGGATGATGGGCAGTTTGTGTCGGTGGCATTTTAGCTGGTTGTGAGCCAGACCCAGAGTCCTCTGAATGACTCGAAGTTGTGCTGAACGGTGATCCGGGATCGGTGATGTCGCTTGATGCCGTACTGCTTCCGCTGCAGTCGGTGCAGCTCAGGACTGCTACACCACTAGAACAAAAACAGATTATTAGATTATACACGAATACATTTGCGCAATAAAGACTTTTATATAATGAAAAGTATACCTCTAATGTGGTTTGTATAAATATTATCTGAATTATCTATAAATCTAGAGACGAGGTTGATTAAGTACATTCACAAAGTTACTAGTAATGATCTTTTTATAAGTATGGAAAATGAAAAAGAACTACAAATAACTATAAAACAATTAAAACTGCAATACTTGGGGCACTTAACCAACAGGTGAAAGATGTAGTACAGGCACATCGTACAGGTTTTTACAGCTGAAAGAATATTGCTAAGGTGCCCGTCGTAAAAGGCGACTAATGCGGATATAATGAAAGATGGAGAGCCATTTAACATGTACGGTATAGTTACTACTCCATGGAGTAGTAACTATACCGTACTGAGGAGATCTAAAGAGATCGAAATACGTATATGCGGCTTGTTGCTGCTCTGTATCAAATCAAAATCTAATACCGACATTTTGTTTTGTTTATTTACTTCATTTGGAGTACCAGAAATCGAATTCACTACGAATATGAACATGCCATGATGAACGGCATTTGGAGTGCAATGTTTAGACTCCCTTGCCGATTCATTCATCAAGCTGTTTGCTTCGCAAGTTTTAGGGAGCACGGCGGCTTTATTTGAATTCGATTTCGCCAGGTAAAAATCGTATGATTTCTCTTTTTTTCTACACAGATACTACAGAAAACCCAGTGAGTCTTACGTAATATAAAAGGGTCTTTTATTCAAATTTTAATTTAAATGTCGAATGTGTGATGCATACAAAGCCCAAATTAGTTCTGCACAGGCTACACAGAAGGAGAATCTAGAAAGAAATCACAAGGAACATCTTGAAATTGCAAATGAGTTAAGGAGTAAAATGAAGGCTGATCTAATATGCGTGCAAGAGGATGAAACGCTGGAGAACCTGACTTTTGATCTCCAAAAAAACTCATCCTTTACCAAAAATACCGACTGGAGTCACATCTTACAAAAGACAATTAAATTTAATTTAGGTATTTATGTTGGCAGTACAAAAAGAAGTATTTTCAATGTATGTACAGAGCTAAAGGCAGGCAGGGAACACAAGTCGGTTCATGTCTGCGTAAATATATAAATGAAAATATTAAGGCCCCCTAAATAAATTAAGTCTATGGTGTGATTCTTGTGGGGGGCAGAATAGAAGTATTAAGCTAGTGTTTATGCTTATTCATATACTTCAAAACCAAACGTCCCTTGAGTGGATTTCGTTAACATTTTTATTTTCTGCGCACAGTTTCCTGCCTAATGATTCACATTTCGGAGATATCGAATGCTGCCTTAAAACCCATCAAAGACTGTACCCTGACAACGTACTTTCTGGTCACAGTTTCCTGCCTAATGATTCACATTCCGGAGATGTCGAATGCGCTTTTAAAACCCATCAAAAACTGAACACTGACAACAATTACATAGAAATAATGTGATCTTGCCAAGTAAAAAATAAATTTGTTGTAAACCGTCTAAGATCAGAAGAAATGGTTAAGTTAGTTTTTTGCTACAATCCATAACAAATCGCAAAACAGATATAAATAAGGATGTTAGTAATTGGCTAAAAACACATGTAAGTAATACATATTACAAAGGAAAGTCCTACAGTTTGGTACATAAAAAAACATGTGAGAGATCAACAATTTTCGGAGGTAAATATTGAAATATCAGGTAAAGGTCGAAGACTTGTTTTAAAGAATGTAGAGTTGTCTCCCTTGTGGCAAAATGGCAGACCACTGTCTGCTGAAAAAATAAAGGACCTTTAAGATTTGTCCAAGTTAATTCCCCTAGATGCCATGACTTTTTATGGATTTTTGAACCAAATCAGCTATGAAGATTTTGAAGGAGATTTGGAAGGAATTACTATTAGTAGTGAACTCGAATTCAAAGTTTTTTCTGTGTATTTACCATTTCGGAGGGATAGACGTTTATTGCAAAATGACCAATTTAATTTTTACAATTTTGCAAAAACCGTCTAAGCCGCTTTAAGTTATTTTTGCAATAAAATGTTTTTGCTTATTTTGCTTTTGTACCTTTTTAAAGGAAGCCTGTAATTATTGAAATATAAAAATGTGAAAATAAAGCCATATTTTTCCTTCATCTTTCCTAAGATGATATATGCTACCGCTACCTTTTCCATATATTGCTACCGAAACGTGAACAGCAATGATGAAAAATAAATGAGAAGATAGAAACAATGTATAAGAAATTACAAGTAATAACGTACAAAAAACCGATAGTTGAGGCACATGAAAATAAAAGAAAGCCAAAAGATTTCAAACTATTGCCAAAAAACGCATATAACGACCATGACAAAGATGAGTAAATGGATTTAAAAACACTTCCGTATTATCCTCATAATTGTCAATAAATCTGCTATTAAATAAAATTAAAAGAATTCCGTCAACAATTCTAAATTTAACTTTGGCAGAGAGATTCGATTCGACGGGCAACATCGCTTTCAAACATCAAACACAGGCCAAGAACCAGGTAGACATGACTGGAGGCAGGCAGTATACATAAAAAAGAAGAAGAATGAAATCGAAAACCCCCATCCACGTCTATTACCGTAGTTTGATGCAACGCCTGCTACGATGATAGTCTTCTTTAGCGGTGTTGCCGAGTTGCGTGCAGTTTATACATAATCGTAGTATTTCGAAAAAATAAATTTTAACTATTGGCGACGTGCAAGTACTTGGAGGGGATACAAGAAACGATCGTGCGCGAGTAGCGGAGAAATTTTGCATTTTTTAGTGCACATTTCATAAATTTCATAAATTCATATTGTCAATTGTCATATTTCATATTCGTTTTGTTTATTTACATTTACACCTTCTGTCTCTGAAGAAAATGGGATTTAGGAAATGCTGTGTTATAAATTGTAAAAATACAAAAAAAATTGTCAATTTAAGTTTTATTCGTTTCCAACTTCGAAGCACAAAGCTACTACAAAGAGAAAAGTGGATTTATATCATAAAAAAGCATAAGTAACATAACCCAAATTATGCATTATTCTTGCGCCCGATTTTAAAGTCAGTTTGAAATAAATAATAAATAAAAGTTCACTTTTAAGTGTAAATTTTAGTTTCATAACACTCACTTAGAGTTCATTTTAACCCAAAAATCAAGTTTAATGTTTAAATTTTATTTTTTTGAAGTTGACAAGAATGCATTAAGTTCAAGTTTTTCTGAAGATGCATTAAGATATACTCGCTGTCCAAAAGTTTACAGGGAAAGAATTAATTGTTCAAACCAATATGATGATATCATGGGCTTAACCTGCTAATTTATGAATTAGCATTATTTATGGTAATTTATTTTTCTTAATTCTTCCATTATTTTTTGACATTTGCCACTACTAAAGCTTTTCCCTTTGACTCAATGCTTGGTTGAAAAGTTATTTGGTGATTTACTTTCTCAAATCCAGTTTTTATTATTGAATCGATATTAACAGTAATGCTGTAATTCAATAATATATTTATTTGTATTTACGCTACATCAACGTTTACCTTTTAATAACATACCGACATAACCTCAATCTTACTTTTTCTTCTTATTCTTTTTTGGGGCCACGTCCTTGACAGTTATCCGGTTACCTCGATCTAACATAAAAGCGCAGTAAATTTTGCTGATTTACGACACCAGCTGTCGCTGTTCCGAACTTGCACGGTCCCAATATAGAAAATTGTGCGTTTTAATGATTACCAATATAAATAAAGTCCTGCATGTTTTTTTTTAATATTTGGTAGCAATAGTGCAATATTTGGCAGCTAAGTAGTGTTGACAATTAGGGACTTTCCGCACTAGGCAGTCACTCAAATTCCCACAGCTTAGATAGCCAAGAATCCCTGGCTGCAGCAGCCACTACAACGCACCCGTAGCACCGGCACCCCTTTTGTTGCCCGGAACCAAAGCAAGTGGAAATTCTGAAGGAAAATGATTGTAGCTGCCTTCAGTCTCCGCGCACTTGTCGTGTCAACCAGAGCTATCCCTAACTTTTTTACAGTTTTCATTCACTTGTGTCAATCAGATCTATCTCCAAGGTTTTCATATTGATTTTTGATACTGAACAATTAATTAGGAAAGTTGATAGCAGTAAGACGATTTGGGATATATCTTCGGAAGAATACAGTGATTGAGAATTTATCCAAAAAATTATCAAACGATTGAACTGACATTCTTGTATAGTTAAAAAACCGAATTGGGAATCTATGAACATCCTTAAAATAGGTTTGAAATAAGCCTTTTGAATGACGTTCTAAAAGGAGGGGATGATCCAATGCCTTCTCTTTGATTTGCGTTTTTTATGAGACAAACGGTAAATCATTATGGCTTCTTCCCCGTCAATGACAATATCTACAGTTAATGTGACTGGATATACAAGGGAAAGTTTAGAAAAAGAAGAGGACCGCGGAGACGACGTATGTCCTGGTTGAAAACTCTTCAGAACTGCTGCAGACAGAGTAAAGTGGGCCCGATGATACCCAATGTCCTTAAAGAATGAGGCAGACGAAGAAGAAAGATCAAAAGTATTTGGCTCTAGGGTGGAGTAATTCCCAAAAATTATGGACACCATTTACATATCTAGACATCGCAAGCTTACGTATGATAATAATATTTCGAACATAAGTCCGTAGTATAGAAAATTTAAGATGAGATTACGTATTTTAACTCCAAAGTCGACTGAGAAAACACCTGAAAACATTTAAGGTAATTTCGACAACGTAAGTTACTCTGGTCACTAAGAAACCATCAGAGAAGACATGGAAAAGGGACTCAACAGACTCTGTAGATTACTACGTGAATATTCATCACAAACAGTAACAGTTACAGCTGCAAATAACACTGCGGATTTACATTTCTGGAACTTTTGTGACATCTACAGCGGCCAGTGCATTACGTATGATTGGTTTTTGCTTGGCTTGAATATTGTTTTGAAAATTGAAAAC